ACAAGATGGACAATCACTGACTGGTAAGCTCTCATTAGAAGGGTCTATTGCAACAATGAGAGAGTTCATTCTCCCTGCATATGCGTTCTCATCTTGCCAAGACACTTTGTCTCAAGTTTGCTGTTTGCACAGTCCCTCTTATCTAGTGTATCATCTACCTCAGCGTCCCTTACCTTAGATAATATCTTGCCCAACTTCCCGATCTTAGCTGAGAAAACAGATGTTACCTGAGGTAACATCCTGCTCAGCATCCATTATCTAAGAAACCTACGTACCTATTTTATATTCCCTATAGTAGCAATTTGCTCAATTTACCTTACCTAATATAACACCTTACCCAACAACCCTGACGCAAGGCACCACATTGCCCAGAGACCCTTACCTAACGTACCATTTCAGTCACGATTTTTCCACATAATCTTCTACCTCAATCACCAATTTCCAAACAACTCAGCACTTCTAGGGGTCTAGCAGCATCGTCTAGTCCAGCGTACCCAGCCAGAATAAAAACTAAAATTGACTAAACCTACAAATTTCCAGTCACTTAAACGTTTTGACAAACTTGCTCAGCTATTTTGCATAGGGAATATTTTATTGTGCAGGGTCGTTACGCTGGCTTGTTTGAGGAGGCCGGGAGTGGAGGGTAGGAGAAAGGAGGAAAAGAAGAGGAAACGGAAAGGAATGAAGAGATGCGAGAAACGAGGGGGAAAAGGAATGGAGGAAAATGTGAAGATGGAAGAGAATAGGGAATTTTGGAAAGCGAAATAAGGAAGTTAAAAGGCAGGGAATAAAGAGAAAGGGGAGAGTAGGAGAAACTAGTGGGACAAAACTGGTACTGAGGGAATGAAACACAAATGGAAAATGAAGGAGTGACTGGCAAAGGAAAGAAATTTATGAATAGAAAGCGCTAAAGCAATACGACTGTACAGAACTTAGACGGATATGAGGACAAGGAACCGGATAATGACGGGGTGAAGGAACGGTTCCCAAACTATTGAACCACTGGGATCGAACGTTGACCCAGCTAAAAGCGAGGCTTTCGCTAAACCGATTGATCCAAGTTGATGGGTGAAATGAATGGGAGAGATGTACATTGAAGAGAATTGGATAGCAGGTAGGTGGAGAACAGGTGCTTGGATGTGGAACAGTCGGAACAGAAGGAATGGAAAAGATGAGAGGAGGAAGGGAAGTGTGAATAGCTTAGAACAATTTTAAGCCTGAAAGTGATGTGACATGGGAAGGGAGAGGGGAAAAGGGAAAGAAGAACAGCATAGACGAACACGGGTAAAGGCTGGGTGAGAATGAGAGGGTTGAGAAAAGAGATGAAGATGTGAAAGAAGGAAAGCAGGAGACAAAGAGAAACGAAGGATGAAACGTACCTGCAGAGTGAGTGGTTTGGAAACAGAAGAATGGAAAAAAAAGTCTCTAAGGGCGGAGAAGAGTAGTGATAGCGAGGTGTTGGTGTGAGGGTGTCGGTGGTGTTGGGTGTCTGTGGCGTGGGGTGTTCTTGGTACGGGGTGTTGATGAAGGGAAGCAACTATTTCAAGGCTTCATTGTTACAATCAGGAATCAAATTCATGGCAATTCTGCCACTATGTGAAATGATGCGTTACATAATAAAACCAACTGGAAGACTGGAATTAAGATTGGGTTATCCTGCACTTGGTGCCTGGTCGTAAGACCTGCTTTTCCTATAACTGTTATGGATTAGGTATATTCAAGACTATTTTTTTTTTAAGTTCTTCAATCACTACCTGTCCTCCAAACATACTTCATAAAGTGCTTCGCCCTCGTTTTGAAACATAGATAATTTATAACGCATCTTAATTGGCTACACGGGGTTCCAATCAGGATTTAAATGCACTCAATAGATGGTGATTTTTGTTCATATCAACAGCAACATTTGACGCTTGCAAACAGTAAATCATCTCGCAATCATCATCATCTCCAATTTATGAAAACAACATAAAACTTATTCGAAGGTCCTAGGCTCTAGAGACCTCCGAAGACTTGTTGGTATCTTATAGTCCACGGTTTGTTTCCTTCTGGGAAGACATCTGAGGTTTCAAGTGGACCAACCATAGTAGTGAAAGTGTTATGACGATGGTGGTCGCGTGAAGGGAGGATGTCAACCCCGTTCCAGGTCTCGGGAACGCTGGGAATCTCAGCAAATATTTATGTATGAGATGATACAGGTACATTTCCGCGCTGACAACAATTCTGGTTAAAGATAAACAATGTTGACCAGATCACGCACTAGAAGGTGAAGGGATGACGACGTTTCGGTCCGTCCTGGACCATTCTTGACTTGAGAATGGTTCAGGACGGACCGAAACGTCGTCGTCCCTTCACCTTCTAGTGTGTGGTCTGGTCAACATACTTTAGCCACGTTATTGTGACTCATCGCCTGCAGAAAGATAAACAATGAGCTAAAGAACACCGCTAAAAATACTGACAGAGGGGAAAAGGTGTTAAGTAATCTGAGAATTACTATTCATCACCACCAATGAGGAGACAACACGGCTCATCTCACCACCCCAACCACTTGGGCTGGACGGTAGAGCAACGGTCTCGCTTCGTGCAGGTCAGCGTTCAATCCCCGACCGTCCAAGGGGTGGGGCACCATTCCTTTCTCTCCTTCCCATCCCAAATCCTTATCCTGATCCCTCCCCCCAGTGCTACATAGTCGTAATGGCTTGGCGCTTTACATAACACATCATAGGTGACACAGCAAAAGCCGATGAAAAACATTTAAACTGGGTAAAGTAATAGGTATTAAGCTATTTTTTCCAAGAAATGTTTATAGCGGAGCGTGGCTTCCAACCAATCAATGACCCTTCAGTGTCATGATTGCGTGAGTGAAACGCAATGCAACTTAAATGTTTTTTCAATTCTTAGGTAAAATGCAAGAATCAAAGCTGATCATCCCTCCCTTGCCTTGAGGAATTTGCTCACATAATACAATTTCAGTAATATAAATCCTCCTGTTTTATGCAAAGGAGATACAAACCTCACAACATTGGTAATATTTGTTGTTTGAAGTTAATATAATATAAACTGACGCTGCTAATAGAGATTCCAAAATATGTCTTCTTCTTCTTTTATCGACAAGACTCAATCTCAAGGCAGAAAATAATACTGAAATAAGCGTTGATAAATACTGAAAAAGGAAAGTGAACTGGGCGTTTCTCCACTTACTGAACCTTGCACAAGGGAGGTTCTCTCGTGTGAAAATTTTATGACTTTTATTCCACGTCATTTCAACAGTTCAGGAGAATTATAATTCTGGAAACTGTATATAGCTTCCATGTTTTTCCAGCTGGTGAAGCTCACAATCCACGATGGCAGGTTTTTAATAAAGAGCATTTGTGAAAGATAATGGCAAAAGGCATCAACAAAGGGGGGTAAGAAAGTTAAATGAATGGTAACAAAACAATTCCAGGAAGATTAATAATATCTATTACTAGCAAAAATATTTGTAGGAGGAATGGTCTGGGGTATAGGATGAAAATAGGCTGGTTTGGGAAAGCCTAAACTAAATATTTCATGAAATATAATCTGTAACCTAACACCCCCGAGGGAGTTTCATGAAGTCTGAAAAGGAAACAGGATGATATCGGGGAAGGGTAGATTATTGAAGTTTCCCCCGGCGTTTACCCACGAAGTTTTATAGTTTATACCTTATTCATGCTAAAGTATATATTTATACTTTATATATAATAGGAAATGTCTATCTGTTCGAGGTTGGTGGGGAGAGTGAGAAGGGGAGGTAAGGTAATAGGGAGAGGGGAAGAGGGTGAAGGATAGGGAAATGAGGTGGGCGAGAGAGGGATAAGGGTGGGGGAGAAAGAGGCATGAGGGAGAAGGGGAAAAATGGGGGAAGATGAGAAGGAAAAAGAGAAGGAAGGAAAGAACGGTGAGGAAAAGAGGGGAGGAGAGAGAAACGAGGGGTGAGAAAAAGGAGGAGACAGAGGGGAAGGGATGAGGAAAAGGAGTAAATAGAGGAGAAGGGTGAGGGAAAGAAGAAATGAGAAGGGAAGGAGGGGGAGTAAGAGAGAATATGGGGAATTGAGTTTAACCCCCAAAAAAGATGTAATTTCGTAATTATTGGAATATAGAATTCTATTCTCATAAACAAGATGTTTGTGTGTTTGTTTTATGCACGTGTGTGTGTGTGTATTATGTGTATGTACGTAATTGTGAGTGTGAGTTAAAAACACAAATGTGAATGAAGGAAATTGAAAGACAATTGTCCAGTTTTGTTTTCAGTTATGTTTGTATCCACATGTAAAATGATTTCAAAACTATTATTCATTTTCTTTTTTGTAACGAGGAAAATGCTTTGGGATTGAACATCTGTTAATCACAAAGTTCCAATCCCTTCGAGTTTCTCAAAGCGGACGATGCTGCTCATATCGATCGTTTCATCTCTGGCACGAGAGCGTATCCAGGTAACGATGTCTCGTTAATGACGAGGTGCATCGTAATTATTAGTGTGGATGTCTCTAAAAAGGTCTAAATATGTCCCTACAAAAGCCATCAGACTAAGATGAACATTCACCATAAATCTTGTGAATTCCCTTCAGCTTCTTGGATTCATTCCTGATTTGTTCAATAAGGAGGAGAGACAGATAAAGATTATCTTGAGGTGACAATAATGCAGCTTCAATGTGTACAAAAATAGTATGAATCCTTGCTATCTTGGGTTGAAAATCGGCAACCACGCATGATTCCTGATGGCAGAACTGGCGCTGCCGGACGTACGACCAACCCCTCTAAACTTTATTCCAGCGAGTTTTCTTCCTCATTTGATGTTACTCAACTATTGATCGGTATCAGATGATCACTCTAAAACCAGGGCTCATCTTCCTGAAACATAAATCATTCGGAGAAGCTCCCCGAATGATTTTCTTGGTATGTATGATCGATAGTTTCTCCCCGGGAGTGGCAGTGGAGGTGGCAGTAGGCTGTCTGCTGCCTCAGTGGTGGACCATCCGGTGCAGAGTGGGGCATGTAGTATCCTCCCGTCGCCTGGAGAAAGTTTATGCAAGTACTTTCTATCAGCGAATTTATGGTGTAATATGAACCCAAAATAAAGCTACGCAATTAATTCGCTCGTAGCTTAGAAAATTTCCGCAGTTTGACAAACTCTTTTTGTAATCACATAGAACATTATGAATTTGTGTTCCATAGAATTATGATACTAATCAACTTATTAGTGTATGGTGGTACGGTGGGTTTCTGACGGATTAACAGCAGATGCCTCGTTCGTAGTCGTTGAAAGTGGGGTTGTTAGGTCTTGAATTGGTGTCTCTGAGAGCGCCCAGTGTAGTGATGGAGGCGGCCTGTACACTGATTTACCTCATCGCCTACGCGGCAGCTTCAACCGCAACTAAAGAAGGTAAGTGTAGGGAAGGAAGGGTTTAGGGGAGGGAAGGTAGGTTTGGGGGAGGGGAGGTAGGTTTGAGGGAGGGGTTAGGGGTGGAAGAGAGGAAGTGGGTTGTATTCGTTGGGGGGTTTAAGGGGACACTTGCTTCTCTACTAGCGCTCAAGTGCCCTCCTTTCCTCCCTCCTGAGTGGTCAGACAGGAACTGAGGAAGCTCTTCCTTTGACAGTCAGTTGAGCTTGAAGTAGTTCTTCTTAAGGTCAGCCGCGTGGTTCTTAAGACAGTAACCTATTGTGGCCAGGTAGAACTTGAGCTGCTTCTCAGTTCAACTAACACTGGAGGGAGTCCCTGCTGAGGTCAGCCAACCCAAGACAGTCCCTGCTGAGGTCAGCCAACCCAAGACAGTCCCTGCTGAGGTCAGTCAACCCAAGACAGTCCCTGCTGTGGTTAGCCAACCCAAGACAGTCCCTGCTGAGGTCAGTCAACCTAAGACAGTCCCTGCTGTGGTCAGCCAACCCAAGAGAGTCTTTACTGAGGTCAGCCAACCCCAGAGAGTCCCTACTGAGGTCAGCCAACCCCAGAGAGTCCCTACTGAGGTCAGCCAACCCAAGAGAGCCCCTGCTGAAGTCAGCCAACCCAATAGAGTCCCTGCTGAGGTCAGCCTACCCAAGAGAGCCGCTGCTGAGGTCAGCCAACCCAAGACAGTCCCTGCTAAGGTCAGCCAACCCAAGAGAGTCCTTGCTGAGGTCAGCCAACCCAATAGAGTCCCTGCTGAGGTTAGCCAACCCAAGAGAGTCCCTGCTGAGGTTAGCCAACCCAAGAGAGTCCCTGCTGAGGTCAGCCAACCCAAGAGAGAGAAGCTCAAGATCACACACCTTCTGACAGGTCCACCCTCAGACCACCTAGCACTTGAAGGAGTATCCAGTTTACATTACATAGCATTTGAGGCATCGCCCCCATTAAAACAGTTAACACTTGAGGTATTATCCCCCCCATTCAGAGGAGTTAACACTTGAGGAAATGCCTCACTGAGACTATGTCTGAGAGCTTTCACATATGAGGCAATCTTCAAACTTGAACAAATCCCCCATTGAGGAAAGTATCCACTTAAGGGATTCCTTCATTGATGCCTGTTAACTCGTGAGGGATTACGCCATGGAGGCCAGCTATAGCTTGAGGGATTCCGTCATGAAGGTCATCTTACATTTGATGACATTTGTCAATAACATTTGATCCACCATTTAAGGCCTCCTAACACTCAAATTAATCCCCCAATGAGTTCATCTATCTGGTACAACGATAGCTACAAGTATCTACAAGAGTTTAAATAATGAATACAAGGTTATGTATATAATTATCATAAAGTTGCCTCCCAATTTATCATTTCCTTTCCAGGTTTTTGATGCTTTCTTGCGTATGTGGTGTATGTGTTGGCTTCCGGGGGTCTTAGTGGGCCTGAGTTTAATTATTTATTGTATTTGCGCGTGTCTGTGTACGTAACAAAATAGAAAAGGGATCGCTGGATTGTTCCTCCAAGCGAAGGTTAGACCTATACATGAGAGTGTTTGAGTACATGCAGGAGCTGCCTCGTATGAACCAATAGGTATCTTGCAGTTTCTTCTATTCCTGAGAATTTACTGAGTCATGGCATCAGCTTGCAATGTTTCTATGGGTCAGCAGTCAATTCTTGTAAGCTTAGGGGAAGGGGAGGGGTAGACTCCTTGTCTTCACTACGTGACGGAGTGAAGACTATGTAGTGAAGTAATACTCCTTCTGGCTTTGTGCTTTCTACTATGTGCCTACTTATGTTCTTCAAGGGGGAATTAATTGTAATGTTCTGTTCGTGGCAGGAAAATAGCTAAGAAGGTTTATGTATCAGGATGGTAGTGTTATAACAGGTGTCTCAAGTACGAACTTCCCTCCAGAATCTTGCTGATAAAGATTTTGCAAAAACAACAGAAACTAAAGTCAAAATTATACTGTTGTATACAAGTAAGGAGCTTAACGAATTTGCACGAAAATAGTATTCGAACCTAGACAAAAATTAACATCAGAATTAAGTGAATTCATACATTTTTATTGACTCAACACATCAATACCAACACTACGAGAGTTAATGAAAAAGTTTGGTGATGGCTGTTCTTGAAGTCAGTTTGAAGAGCCAACACTCTTGACAGATTCACATTCAAACGATAGCATCTAGTGCCTCTTTCCCCCTCACCATCTAGGCTAATAATGAAGGACACTGCGTTATCCACACTCCACCCATTCTCAGCACCCTCCACCCAGTCTCTCCACCCAGTCCCTCCACCCGACACCCAAAGGTCACAGTGCCCAAGGTATAGATCCATTGCACTCGCATTTGAATTATGGAGACGTGTTCAGCATTAAAAAAAATGCAAAGCTTAAATTATATAGAATCACGGTAGTAATTTGTCGTTTGAAACGTGTCAGAATGGTAAGGAAGTTAGTAGATGTTTTGTTGGTGGAAGTGGTTGTAGTTGGGTGAAAGTGGTTGTAGGTGGATGGAAGGATTGTAGGTAGACGGAAGTGGTGGGATGATAGTGGTTGTTGGGGGTGGGTGGAATTGGTTGTGGGTGGGTAGATGCGGTTGTAGGTGGGTGGAAGTGGTTGCAAGTGGGTGGAATGAGGTGTTGGTGGGGTAAATGTTGGGAAAATAGAGTGTTAACAAGCAGTGTGTAGAATTAGGAGTCATTAGTAATAGGAAACATCAATCTGATGAACGTTGATAACAGATGACAGTCATTTGTATTGGAAATTGATGACAGGTGACCTTCAGTTGTGATTGACTATGATGAAAGGAGACAGTTAGGATTGATGACAGGTGACAATCAGTTATGATAGATGTTGATGACAGGTGACAATCAGTCGTGATAGGTTGATGATAGGTGACAATCAGTTATGATAGACGTTGATAACAGGTGACAATCAGTTGTCGTGGACGTTGATGCGAGGTGACAGTCACTTTTGATGAGCGTTGCTGACAGGTGACAGTCAGTTGTAATGGAGGTTGAATGGTGGTGGTGGTGGTAGGTTTAAGTGGGTGGCGAGTTTTAGTGAGAAGTCGTGGTTTAAGTGGTTATTAATTGTTGTCAGTGGGTGGTGGGTGGAGGTGTTAGTGGGTTGTCTGGGTGGTGGGTATTATCGAGTGGTGGTAGTTGGATGTTTATCAGAGGCTGGTGATTGTGGTAGATACTGGTGCATGATGGTGGTGTTTATTAGTGTGTGGTGGAAGTTGTATTGTTGGGTACAGATGGTGGTTTTGGGTATAATTGGGTACTGATGGTGGTGGTGGTTGTGGGTAGTACTGGGTACTGGTAGTGGTGGTGGTGGACATTGCTGGGTATTGGTGGTAGTTTTGGATATTATTGGATACTGGTGGTGGTTGTGGGTAGTACTGGGTACTGGTAGTGGAGGTGGGTATTTCTGGGTGGTTGAATTTACCTATCAGTGACTACGGATAGGTCAGGTTTAGGTCATTATTCACCGCCTTCCTTGTGGAGGTTCCGGAGTTCACCGTCCCCACGGCCCGGTCTCCCACTAGGCCTACTTGCATAGTTGTACCTGTTGCCTTATAACTTAACAATTAGGACGTTCGAAATTTTTGTCGAATCTATCCTTAAGGTTTTGGATAGAGGTGACTTCCACAGCTGATTCAATCAGTGAAGACCAATAATTAATCGCCAGTTCAGGGCACGAGTTTTTCCTTATATTTCTTCGAGTAATTTGCATTTTAATTTTTTTGTTAAGTTCTTAAGTCCAATTTTCTCTTCATTTATAGCGGTGTAAGTGTCCACCTTGTCTATTCTCCAAAGTATCTTTCATGTTCTGATCATATCACCTCTGTTTATTCGTTCCACTAAGCTTACGAGATTTAGTTGCCATAACTAATCCTCTTAGTCCGACTTTCCTTTCGATCTGACAATATTCTTACTTCAAACTCTGTGCTTTTTAGATTTATAATGTGTGCTTCAAAAAATAAGATTTCCAGGCTGGCACTGCATATTTCAGGATTGGTTTAACATAGGTTGTGCAGATTGCCTTGAGTCTATATTCATTACGAAATCTGTTTCTCTTTCCATTTCCTGTAATTAATTAACCATTATGATGTAGATACCTCCTGGTCTCCTTCCTTTTTTCGATTTGTATAATTTTACGCATGTTGAGATTGAATTCTAGCAACCATCTGTCAACCCACTCTAAGAGATTGCCAAGATCTACTTCAAATTTGCATTCCTCGTTAGCTCTGCGCCTTTTATAAATATCTATTCAACCGTGAATGGGTACAATCCTTCTAGCCAATCATTCTCACATATTACGAACTTCAGTCATCCCATGACTGTCCCCCTATGTCACATTCCTTCAGCTTTGAACCCTCTTCTCTGCTGCTGACGCTTTGTTTTCAGTCCTGCAGGTACTCTCTGGTAGATATTAGAAGGTGGTGATGTTGGTGGGGGGTACTTGCATATGGTGGTGGGTATTATTGTGTAATTGTGGTTGAATGGGATTCAGTGTGTGGTGAATGTTAGGGAAGTAGTGGGTCGGGGAATGATAGTGGAGGCTAGTCTGTATTAGTGTGTGTGTTAAGCTCTTTAGGTGAGAGCCTTCAATGGACGGCGATAGATATTGGTGTGTGTTGATATTAATAATGAGTTTTAATGGGTGGTGTTGGTTGGTGGAAGTGCACAAACTAATAAATGGTAATAATGGATCTTTATCGATGGTGGTGTGGGAGACTACGACATTATATAAGGTAATAATAGGTTATATTGGTTCGTAGTGGGAGACCACAGCCTCAAAAAATAAAAATCCTGAAAGATTATCCATTGAGCAAAATCAATAACATGCATCGTATAGGAAAGGCATTTAACAAACTCCTTGTGACCTAAATCACTCACTCGGAGTAAAGTTCGCTGCTTTATTAGGTTGCTTAATATCTAAAACCTTGGGCAGATAAAGCCTCGTCATTCACGAGTAAAAGGCTTATTTGACTG